CGACACTCACAGACAGGCATACATATGCATATGGAAACTAACAAAGACAGCTCGGAATCAGATTCATCTCTTTCTATCACATTGATCAGCAGTCTGTTTATATAAGTCTGTGACTTGAGTATAAATAATCGAGCCATATAAACGTAGTCAATCTGAAGATAATGAAGAACTTTTGCGCTATTTTGGTATATTTAGAGCTGTAATATCTCCGGCACACCAGCGCGGTGTCGCGCACGACACGCGATATCCAATGAGTATATAACTTTGCCGATATTCTCATTCTAAAAGTACTGTCATTGGATATCGCGTGTCACACGCGACTAATATCGCGCCATTTTACAATTTTTGCAATAGTAACAAGATATTAATTGCTAAAAATTGTCGAAAATGATCTTTAATAATTTTTTACTCAAATACTATCAACTTTATAGAAAAATTGCAAGAGATGAAAATTGTTTATTTTCTTCTCATAGAATTCTACAAATTTTTTTAGAATTTTTTATTAACTTTCTAGTACTATCAACATGAGAAAATTAACATTTTGATATCTTAAACATTACAAAAAATTTTACATTCTAGATGCGAATGTCTCGAGCTACACAATTGTGCAAGATCATATTAGGTGTTGGAATTAATTCGTAGCGTTTTACAAGTGATGGGAAGTACTTTCATTAATGTATTTTTTAATGCTCATGTGAAATAAATAACATTCTTTCATTAAAAAACGCTACGAATTAATTCCAACACCTAATATTTTTTAACATATTTACAAGAAACTAAATGAAGTATTTATGCTGAAAAACTTCTCATAAGGAGAATGTTGTTATTGTGTTTTTACAGGCACACAAAAGAATATTAAGAAGCACGGATTGGAAAATTAGAAAAATTTGTCAGAATTGAGTTTAAGCGATAACAATATAAAAATAATAAAGATTATTTTTATTGTTACTGAGGAGATAAATAGTAAGGCTTAAATATAATCTTTTCTTTTTTATTATTATTCAAATTAACAAGTGATACAAGAAACGAGAATGTATATCCTATTATTTTCCTTCGTTAAAATGTAAATTTTAACTCCCTGTATAATTTTTGTTTCCATATTTATTATGCATTTAGCGACAGAAGGAAATATATAACAACAATGTAAGCACTTGTCGTGATTTCGCGTATTTTCATGCATATTAATTATAAGTCGTAATGCTGATAGGAAAGATGTATGTTATGACATTCGAGGTATATTGCGACTTGTAATGATTATCATACAAATGAATAAACATTAACGAATGAACGCGGAAGAATTTATTATCTTTATTTAGAGTCCATTATTAAGACTAGTAATTGCGTTGTTTTCAAACAGCCTATAATTTAAATATCTCAGGGATTAAATGGCGTGGGTACATTAGCGACACGCTTAAATAACGTGTAAATAAGATATAATAAAGTAATACATGTTTTAGTGGAACAGTATAATATTATGAAGAGTAACATTAAATTTTGCTAGTGACACGCTTTATTGTTGTATGCAAACAAGCAACAATTTACAGAGTTATCACTAATTTAAAGCACGTTAATTTTTGTATTAATTATATATTTCTTGTGCTCTATAAAATAAAATCATTTTGATGATAGTGTTGTTCATAAAAAGTAAAATTATAATTTGTAGTATTATCGCAAATTTAAACATGTACTGCATGAATTATGCATACATACATATGTATATATAACTTTGGCCAAAATATTAGATACTTAAATATGTTGAGCTAGAACTTTATTCTTGCATTAGAAAAAAGAAACCAAACAAACATGTGAATTAATTATAGCAATTTAAAAATTTATAGTGTATATAAAGAAACAATACTATATGATATATCACAGAATACATATATCTTTGGTAACTTTTGCATAATACATATCTTTGTTTATTAAAGATCTGTTGTCAGGTATTGATCTATTAATTCTTTCTTCATAATTGATATGAGATCATTCGTATTATGTAGTTGTTGTAGAATTTCTTTAAGAACAATTAATTCTTTTTTTAATTTTATTTTTTCCTGTTTCAATTCTAAAATTTTCTGTTTAATATTCTCGGACGTTGTTGACTTCTTTTTTAAGAAATTAATGGTTGTGTTCATAAACCGTGATTTTTTTACACCTAAATAATATAAAAAAAAGTTAATTAAACAATGATATTAATTGAAAATGTTAAAGGAATGAAAAACAGTGAACAGTGTTAACAGTGTTAAATTATTTTAATCGTTTATCAACATTACAACTGTCGAAATGAAATACAAAATTTTCTGATGTATTATAGAGAATTTTGTATTTGATTTTGACAGTTTTGATGCAAATTATAAGCAATTTACTATTAACACTTTGCGCACTGTTTTCTGCACTGACTACTAATGTTTTTCTTTAATATTTTTGAACAATTTGTTAGCAGGAGAGTCTATTTTTCATTTTAATGATATTAATACATTTTATTAAAAAACTTTGTATACCTTTTGAATGATTTGCAATATAATCCTCTGTATCATGTAAAGATAATGCACATATTGTTTTATCTTGTTTCTGTAAATAGTAAAGTAAAATACAATAACTTAAATCTATGTTAATCTATATTTATAAAAAATAATACATTAAAATGCATGCCTAAATAAATCTTATATGCATACCCAATTTTCCTTATTTTTAATTTGATATACAATATCAAATTGTGTGATGAAACAATTGTTTCACATTTATTTCCTTTAGTATTTTGTTGCATAAAGCACTTTTTCTGTTTTAAAGAATTATTTATTTTATTGTCTTGTTATGAATGTGTTTTATTTATTGAAACTTATTAATTAAAAAGAAATAATAAATTTATTAATTCATATTTTTAAAATAATTAACAAAATGATGATAATTAAAATTTGTAAGACATCTCATTTTTATTATTTTCAATTGGATGTATGTTACTATTTAATAGCATACGTAATTGCATATTCTGCTTATTTTGTTGAACAGGAGAATGTATTTCATATGATGTCATCATTCCAAGCATCAAGTGAAAATACTTCATCTTCTTTTTCTTCAATATTAGATAAAGCAAATGAATTCGAAGTTTTATCATAACTTGGAGTCATATTTGTAAATTCATCTTCCGAAATATCTCTTAAAAAGTATTCTTTTTCAGATAACTACAAATCTTTTGGTGATCCGCCACCTGTTCCCATCATGTAAATCTTGTGTTTTGCAATCTTTTTTAAGGTATTAGCCTTCCAGTCTCTCCATGTCTAGAAAAAATATGATGATAGCAATAAATAATAATTTTACACAATTACACTGTTTAAAGGTCAACTCAAAAGTAGAGATGTACAAACTGCTCGAATTTGTATTCGAATAATTTGCATATCTCTATTTTTATAGGTGCGTTCGGCAATGTAAATCTGAGATGCGAGCTAGCAGATGGCGAGCTTGATCTTCGAGCAATCTGAGTGCCAAGAATTAATTTCGAACGCTACAAAGCTGTAAACTATCCTGTAAGATTAGATTATAAAATGAAATTGTTTATTTTTATGAATAAATAAAAAATACCCTATTAATTGAAAATTTCTTTTGCTTTACTAGTAACTGATAATAGTCTTATATACTAAAAATAGACATTAGACATGAATATAGCAGACTCATATGCAAGGTGTGTTTTCTTAAAAGAAAATACTACATTGCAAGATAAATGCAATTTATAAGTTATATCACTTGATTTATATTCGTTAGAATCTTTAATATATTATAAAGAGGAAAAGAATTAAAAACTTACTTTCCTCATTTATTATTATACATAATGTACATCAATTTCTATTTAATAGCATTATCATAAATATATAAGTTGTGAATTTAATTTAGGCGCGAAAATCTGCATTAGCTAGTAAAGAGCGAACTCTGCGAGCTCGGTCTTTAAATCAGGAGTGGATCGAGTAGCTCAATTGGTTCTAGAAATGAAGTGAAAATTACAAAAGTGAACAAATTCATTAGAATATTCATAATTTAATTGGTCAACATCTAGTAATCATTGCTCACTTTCACAATTTTCATCTTATTTCAAAATACACAATCGAGCTCCTGATGTACTTAAAAAAAGATAATAATTTTTCCCAAAATTCACATCCTAAAAATATTTTAAAATATAAATATTTAAATATTGAATTCGCATGACATATATAAAAACAAAACTTATAAGAATATTATTTATAGAAACATACTTGTAAGAAATACGATTAATAATCATAATTACTTATAATTTTTCATTTATTTTCCTTGTTATATCTTAAACGATCACGATCAAAGTCAGGGTGCTGTTCCATAAATTGTATCAATATTTCCTTCTGTTTTTCCGTAACATTCATTCTATCTCCATACAATTGAAACGTTAGCTCTCGAATAATTCTGGCTCACTTTTGGAAATACAATATAATTCTGGACAATAAAGCGATTGCGATAGAATGGGATAGAATTCAAAACTTTCTACCATTTTCTACAATTAAGGTTATGCTACATGTTCAATCGCACTCGCATCTGTAATTTTCATTCCAGTGAGCCTAGGGATATCGCATTTTCACTATGTTCATAGCCAATTGCGTGTATTTTTTCATATGAGATGAAAGTACGAGAGGTGAGAAAAATCGACAAAGATATAGGCTGCATTCCATTTCACGCATGATGCGCATGATACATCATTTACCCTTGTTTTCATTCAGTGAATAACAGCAGTCACACAATCGATCCTCAGTTTCGGTCGTATCATATGGCTGCTTCACTTAAGAGGGGATACCCAATCAGAATAAATATCAGACTGCCAATCAGGAACTCGGACATCAATGTTGGGTCTCTTTATATAGGACTCTATGGAGGACATATCGCATCCATCAATGACGATGGTAACAAGGGTTAGGTTAGGTTAGGTGAGCCGTCAGTGAGAAACGTGGCGTGTGACTTGTGAGTCGTGGCGGCCGTGGCTCGTCGAAGAGAGGAAAGGAAGGTGTTGAATCATCGGCAAGAAAGAGAAGCTTCCATAGTAGAGTCTACCAGTGATCGACCGTCTTGACAATTGACAGCATCGACTACGGTCTGCATACTACACTACACCTGTGCTCGAACGAGTCCAAACGAAACGAAACGAAACGGAACGAGTGAAGAAGAGAGTAGCAGAAGAGCAGCGGGCTGATTGGGAGGGGAAGGAGAGCAACCCCCTTTTCTTCTCCTTCCACGAGGAATTACCAAAAGGCAAAATGGTGGCGCGGTACAACGCAGACGTGTGATGTGCAGGCAGATATCAGCTCGCATCGCTTTCGTATCAGGGAGGTGCGAGATACGCGAGCGTAACCTGCGTGACCTGCGTGACCTGCGTGAGCACGCAGTATGGGCGACCCGAAGAGTCAGCACGGCGCGCAAGAGATGAAAGGGTGGCTTTTCAAATGGACCAACTACCTGAAAGGTTACCAACGGAGATGGTTCGTCCTGTCAAACGGCCTCCTGTCGTATTACAGGTAGTTTCCTACGTGTCGTCGGATCTGTCGACGTCGTCGACGTTAAATATGTCGCTCGCGGATCGCGAGCGTGCGCTCCTCGCCGCGTCGTCATCTAGTTACTTACATTCGCTATTTTAACTGCGCGATCGATCTCTCGACGTCTTCGTCGTCGTCGTCGTCGTCGTCGTCGTCGTCATCGTCATCATCATTATCATCATCGCCGTCATCGTCATCGCCGTCGCGCCAAGATCGCGATACGCGATGCCGTTCGTTCTTTTGACTCGGTTTCTATTCGGAGAAAAAAAAATAGAAAATGATAAGGAGAAAGGAGAGAATTCATCTATATATCTATGTCACGGTGGAGCTGCTCGCCTACTCCCCGTGTTGCGCATCGCGATTAAACTTAGGTTATGTGCGCGGAACTCTTTTCGATCGCTCTCTCGGTCAAAAATAGCCTGGCAACAGTGGCAACAGTTTACAGCTGTCATAATGAGTATTCGCGATATCTACGCGACCGACGGGATGGGGAGGGAACATACATGTGTATGTATATATGTATACGCGTCCTCTGCATCGCTGCGATTTCTGCTCTCTATGCGCGTAGAATAGTTTCGGAATTCGGCTACAGTACCTGTCAGGATCCGTCTCGTCTGTTAGGTGCTTTATTAAGCATATTAGAGATGAGAGAGCTTTTTATCCGCGGCGCATATCAACTCGACTGACGCGCGGGAAGGAGTAAATTAGCAAATCTATCACGTGACATTGTAGTCTTAGGCTCGTTTCGTAGCTCTAATTAAATAATCGTTCATTAAGCATATTTAGCGAACGTGTTTTTTTTTTCTTAAGTGATTATTTATTACTGTAAATGTTTACTTACACTTGTATGTACACTTGTATGTACACTTGTATGTTCAAAGAAATATGTATTTATCTAGTAAATATTTTTTCGGAGTACTTTCTATCTTTTTTTTCTAATTCTTAGAACTAGAAAAGGATAAAGAATTAGTTGGAATTATTATAGTTAGAATTAGAAAAAAAATAGGGAGTACTCTGAAAAAATATTAGGTGTTGGAATTAATTCGTAGCGTTTTTTAATGAAAGAATGTTATTTATTTCACATGAGCATTAAAAAATACATTAATGAAAGTACTTCCCATCACTTGTAAAACGCTACGAATTAATTCCAACACCTAATATTTACTAAAGAAAGACATATTTCTTGGAATAGTACTAAATAATAGATATTTACAGCAAATAAATATTCATTTAATTTAAAAAATTATAGTTAAATCAAATAAATTTTTGTATCAAATAAATACATGTTTGCTAAATATGTTTAATAAATGTTTATTTAGAATTATTCAAATGAATATTTATTAGAAATTAGATTTTATTAGAATTTAGTTTTTTTTTCTTTCAATGTAAGTGGAACTGAGATTATAAAATTAATTTATATTGGTAGAAACGGACATTAAAGAGCTTGGCGATAAAATACATTAGTGAGAGTGGGAGTGAGAGTGAGTGAGTGTGTGTGTGTGTGAGAGAGAGAGAGAGAGAGAGAGAAAGAGGGGGGGGAGGATCCAAATATTGGATGGGAGCATTTAGACACCTTAGACAAAATGCATATGTACATTATAAGCAAGTTTTGCGATTCTCTTGTTTTTCAATAGTATGGCATATAATTTTATCATCTAGTTTATCCAAGTAATGCTGAATTAAACGCCGTTCTCTCGAATCGTGTAATAACGTTCATCTCCTGGATTGATTTTACCTGGCTTTCAGATTTAGTATTTGTCAGCGTATTAACGTATATGTACGAAATATGCAAGAGTCATACGCGTATCGCAGGTGTAGCGTGTCGGGCAATAGTCAACGGTTACATAAAAGCGTGACAAAACTCCTTATGGATGATGTGAATACGACATTACTCACATCGCATACACTCGCTCGCGTCTACAGGATATGTCACAAAGTGCGTATAGAGGTCAATAGGAAGAATTTTTCATACAGCATAAAATAATTCACAAGTATTTTCAAATATTTCATTGCAGGATTTGAAATATTTCAAAAATTTTTCATGTTCCAGGAAATTAGAGTTTTTGGAATATTTTTTTTTTTACAATATTTGTACAATATTTCTAAAATATTTTTATGTATAATGTTTTAAAACGTTTTACAAACGTTTATGAAATACGTCTAAAATATTTTATTAAAATACTTGAAAGAATTTATCTAAATTATAAATATTTATATTCGTGTTGTGTCAATCTTGATGAATTTGAAATCGAGTCTTCTCGGAGGCTGTGTTTCAAGAATTAAGTTAAAAAATTATTCAAGATTGACAATACAGTTATTCCATGAAATGCCTTACGATTTTCTATGTGTTATCAATGCTGAATAAAGGCTAGTTCCACACAGCATGAAATATTTATATAAATCATATTTTAATAAAATATTTCAGAAATATTTTTTGTAAACGTTTGTAAGACGTTGTAAAATATTGCATTAAAATATTTCACAACGATATTTTAAAAATATTCTTGTGAAATATAAATATAAATATATATTGTAAGAAGAATATTTCAAACACTGCGATTTTTTGTATACATATTCATATTTTAGAAAGATTTCGTAAAAAATTTTTGAAATATTTTACATGTTGCAATGAAATATGTTGAAAAATATTTTTTAAGTATTTTATACTGTACGGAGTATTACACATATGATAAATTTATCAAGCCTGTCGATTGGCAATAGCAGAAAGAAATCTGAGAATCTCTCTGATCTATTTCTACCAATCTATAGTTAATTTTAATCTTTTTCTAATCCTTAGAACTAAAAGAAGATAAAAAGTAAATTAAACCGAGATTAAAGTTAATTTACACTGATAGAAATGATAAAAAAACGTCTATCTTGCAGCCAATTAACAAGCTTGAAAGATTTATCGTGCGACAAACGTATAATATTTATTATAGCTTGCTTTCTGCAATAAGCCATTATTTATGCTTGAAATATAACTCGTAAAAAATTGAACAATCACAGTCAAATGTAGGTAAGAATAGTAATCAACTATGGAGTGATCAATTTCTTACGGGTTAAGATTTAAAGACTTAGGTAATGGCTCATTGTAGAAAGCCAATTATAGCCGAAGAATGCGGTTCCGAGAACGATATAATCCTACATTACAATCCTCGCATTTGACGACGCGTCGGAGGAAGTTTATTACGTACATCTCTCTCATTTTAATGTAATTTTAAATTATGAGACTTATCGCACTTGACCGCTTATACTTGGCGCTTTGTAATTCGCAACGAATAATACTCATCCCCAGCCTGACATTTTTTTACATGAATTTCGCTCTGGCAGCCTCATTGAAATTAATAAAATGATGCAATACGAGTTTCCAAACCTTCTTGTATCTCGTGCAGTCACGTTATCTTCGCAAGTAGAGCAGCCACGTTTTTCTGACAAATGATTGCGTACCGAGAGATTGCTTTCTAGAACATTTTTTTTTTTTTTTTTTTTTTTAAATTCAATTTCAACACTCCGCTTGGCACAGTTTGTGTGATTTGAGTTTGCAATGCCTTTCTGAGGATTGTCCACTGGTACGTATATAGTACGGATCTGTTGACGTATAAGAATATTTTATTCTCAATTATTTCTGCTGTAAGGCTTTTTCTCGCACAATAACACGTGTGCACGCAAAAATCACACAGCTCGCGTTATGAACCGAATGAACTTCACGTCTCGCGTCACCGTCGACCAGTGCCGGTATGTCGGTGTTTTTTTTTTTTTCCTCCGATCTCTTGCGAACTTGGAGCGACTCGACAAAGAGAAAAGATCGTCTATATATGTTCTTGCCTACTTCTGACGGTGGGTAAAGAAAAAAAAAAATCGAGAAAACAGAACGAAATTTCGAGCAATAAGCTTTGCCACAGTGTTACACAATGTGAACGGGGTCTGTTTGTTTTATGGATTGTTTAGGGCTGAACCAACAGGGGGGCCAAAGATATCATCGCGACGCAAGCGGAGAGCTGGCAGAGCCTCCGAGTAAGTAAAAAAAGTCAAAACAAAAAAGATAAAACGAAATATGCGAAATCGCATATCCCGACTGCCCCCATCCCTTTCCGCGAGTTTGTAATTAAAAAAACAGCCTCCACGAACGTTTGTGTTCCCATTTCCCATTTTTGATACTCGATTGCGCGCGCGCGCATACACACACACATACACACATGCACGTACACAGACGCGCGTACGAATACGCACACATACACATTATGTAACTTTACATCTTTTCGTGCAATTTCAATTTATTGATGGCCTTAATAAAAAAAAAAATCTCGCTTTCTCCACGATTTCACCTACCTGAGGCCATATTTTCGAAAAATACCGCATACGAAAATACTATAGTATATGTCACGTATATTATATAATATAATAGATTTCCCTAATATTTTTGTATACGATATTTTTGAAAGTAAGACCTTTGTAACATGTCAGCGGTTGTATTACGTATTATCTTACGTATTACGTGTCAATATGAAAATTAAACGTTTCCTCGTAATATACGCTAAACCATGCTAAACGTAACACTTGTCACTTGTGTTCTCTATTATCCTTTTTCATTTTCTTTCTTTATCTCTTCTTATTTTTCTCTTTCTCTCTCTTCATATGTGCGAGTATGTGTGTGTGAATGTATATAATACAATCGTGTGCAATGAAATGTACCGCTTTTTTATGTTGTGTTCTTTATCGTGCGAGGAAGTTACGTTCGTCCCAGTCGAGTCTCGTCTTATTGTTCACTTTTTGTTCACTTTGTCACTGTCTCATGCAGTCACTGTACATCTAACTGCAATCGTTGTTGAATCGACAAGATATAGCTGTTACCGGTATCTTAGATTAAACGGTTTTATTTTTCTTGCTCTTTTGGATGAACGCGGTCGAAAGTTCTACCAATCGCGCAGAAGGAATTAATTACAGATTAATTTTACGTTTTTCTTTTTTCTCCGAATGCGATCGATGAACTGAACGATTTTGTAATCTTTGTCGAGTAATTTCCTCCTTTTCTCTTGATTGAATAATTTTCCTTTCTTTGTAGTTGGATTTATATCGCCTTCATTTTTCTCTCTTCATACAGGATATTTTTAATAACTCGACTTATATATATATATATATATATATATATATAAAACACACACACACACAGAGGGCGCTTCCTTTTAACAATGAATTTTTGCATACATTAATCCGTTTCTCTTTAATAAAAGTACGAGTGGCGGATGCGTGTTTCGATATCTCCTAAGTGAAAGTTTAATCCGAACACATTAGAATCTTTGAGTTGAGGAAAACTATCTTCGGAATACCATGCATAAACATCGTGAATGGTCAAGTAGGAAAAATCGGGTCAATACATCACTGCTGAATAAACTGAATTTTATCAACACAGCCATCAATTCACATCGTATCAATTCACGGTAAATCGAATTCAACAATAACCTCCTGCCCTTTCAATGAATTGTGGAGACTATTTTGTCGTATTTTTATGCAGATTTCATCACAAATATTCACCAAAGATTACATAAATAACGAGATTATGCGCAATACTGTAAGATTATTATCTTGGTAAATAAATGCACGCAAGTATCTCGAAACACGTTTTCGCCAATGTATACTTGAACGTTATACAGAGTGTTCTTAAATAGATTGATGGACTTTGACAGTGTGCAGTTTTACTCGCTTTGGATGGAGAAAGATTATGCGATCGTAGTTGACATACATATATCGAAACTACATTCCAAATTACAAACACCTTTCTATTTACGTAGAATTTTGTTAGAATTTCTCAGAGACTCGTGATTTGTTCGTAAAATGGAGCACGATCGTTCTTTTTAAATCGATTGTTAAAGCTACTCTTTTGCACGTTTTACATTGACTAACTCTTCGTCTTTTTCTAGTTCTAAGAATTCACAAAAGATACAGAAGAGTAGAAGTTGAATCGCGATTAAAGTTAATCTACATTGAGAAAATAGAAAACAGACAATTAGAATCTCGGTTTAATTTTTAGAATTGGAGAAAAAGATAAAGAGCAAAAATTGAGATTAAAATTAATCTTATGTTAACCGAATCAAGCCTTATAGATTCAAATGCCGATTAGTAGATAAATATGCATCTTTTTTCCGACCTATATTATAGATTCGTCACTATTTAGTGCAACGATAGATCAGTTTGTCAGATTGCAATGAGCATCATTATTATAAGACAAAGATACATTCTTTATACATTCTTTGCGAAGTAAAGTTCTTTACTGCAGGCGAAAGGCGTTGATTCTGGAAAGAAAAATTTTCAGACTAATCACACTAATCGTGATGATCGCATGATTTTCTCTTTTCATCCACGCACGGTGCGGGCGAGTAGAGTATAAATAAATACACACCCGAGAGCTCAGCGATCCATTTCGAGGACACCCTGTACAGCCTGTACACGATTCCGAGCATGATTTTTTTTTCTTTCTTTTTTTTTTTCTCTTCCACGCGGAATCATGATTGTTGCGTGTTCGATTAACCCGAGTGACATCACGTGCATGATCCGATTGAGAGCTGTCCTACCCTCCTCCCCGCTCCACCGGTATTCGGACAGTCGTTTCGTACGACGGAGAATATCCTATCCTCCCATGGATTGCTCTTGACCGACAACCGCGAGTGTGACAAGAGGCACTCATCTATGTGGACGTGTCGCGGGATGGGGGAGCAGCCGGATTCGTAATAAGGCCTATACGGGATGGTAATGGGATCGTTAAATCGCTTCCATCGGCTGCGTAATCGAGTGTTTAGTTTCCTTGGATTACGCTGATAAGTCCATATTTTTTCTATGCTAATAACTGTTCCTCGCCATCCTATCCGTCACTCACCACTCCGTCTCTCTCGCCAAGTCAGAAATATGGTGTCACAGATTAACGCAGACAATCGTTGCTACATATTGTTATGCTTTTCTGTTTTTCTGTTTTTTTTTGTCTTTTTTTTTTTGAGGGGGAGGGAGAAGTGGTCGCTTGGATGAATCTTGTTCACGGCCGAATCGTCCGGATCGTCGTTAATTAAAAATCGAGTCCGTCCCTCCCGATTGCAAACTCACGTCTGTCTTTCTCTGTGTCATTCGGCAATCTCGGGGCGACCTGAGAGGGACGGGTACCTGAGACTGTTGCGTCTCCGTTACTCCCTGTTTCAGAAATCCCGCGGAGATGTCTCACACTTGCCGCGGGACGATTTCCTTACACGGGGCCTTAATACACACGGTGGACGCCTGCACCTTCGTCGTGAGCAACGGCGGCACGCAGACCTTCCACATCAAGGCGTCAACCGAGGTAGAGCGGCAGCAATGGGTCACGGCTCTCGAGCTAGCAAAAGCCAAGGCTATCCAAGCGATGGAATCTGGTTTGTACGATTGTACAATAGATCGTGCCTGTGTATTGCGTAAACCTGTCGTTTTTTCGGTACATCTAGGTGCATCGAAATTTTCTGGATGCTTTTTTCCATCTATTTAAAGGGAGCCTAAAGTCGTCCGCTTTATCAATTCAGGAGGAAACACAAACTTCACAAACGTACAAATTTTCTAATTAACTAATTCTTTATATTAATTATCTAAGTCTAATTCTAGGAACTCAATATTTGTTTGTTCACGTAATTCCTAATATGTAATTCGCGAATCAAGATTGTTTTATTATATACGTTCAAATGGGTATGGTATATAAAGCAAATATAATATTTATATGAATCGGCGAAAGTCGACGCTGAAAGCTGACGCAGCTAACAAAAAGTAATTTTCCAACTTTTTTTAAATATAAATTTTTAATATAAATTCAGTTGGTTGGATTGCATTATCGTTTATACTTTAAAAGAGAATTTTTAAATCTGTGTATAAAAGCAGTTAGAAAAATATTTATTTTACATGTTTATTATAAAATATAAACGGTAATATAAGGCGACTTTAGGATTCCCTTAATCTTTCTTTTGCAATCTGAATCTTTTTCAGCATAAGTGAAATTGTATTCTCAGATTTCTTCGTCATTTTTACTGAACTTTTAATAATAATGATTTTTATAATAATGATTTTAACATTTAGTAAAAAACTTATTTAGTAATGTAATAGAGATGTTGAAAAATAACTTTGAAGTTTTTCATATTTTTTTGAAAGCCTAAAACAATGAAAAAAAATTGGATTGGATAAAAAAAACCCAGATTGCAGATGGATGGAATAAAAATATATGATATATTGCAAACAGAGAGTTAAATTAATAACTGTGGAAGATTAATGTCTGCAAATAGTTTTGCTTAAAATAATTTGATGCAGAGAAAGTTAAAATGTAATAAAATTTTCATTTTGATAGATTCGTCAGTTAGAAACTATGATTTTATAAACATTTAAAAAGGTTTTAAAATCGATATATATATATATGAACCATAACTTGAAAATTTTTGTTAAATAAATTTTAATAAGCTAAAGTATTTCTCTATATGTATATACAATATTCGTATATTAGCAGTTTAAAAAATAGATGTAGTAATCAAATTCAATTTATTTCTTAAAGAGAGTCAATATATTTGTTACGAATAGATTTTAACTTTATTAATTAATATTTATGAATTAACCTTCAGGAAAGGCTTATCTTTTTTATTCTCTTTATTTATTAAGTGTTCAAGAGATTGAAAAATATCCTGTGTAAAATGTAGAATTCAGAATTAATGTGATTTATGTATTTTAGATATTATAAAACTCGAATTGCAAAGTTAATATTAAACTTTGAGATTTTTTTGTGAATTTGAATCAACCGTTACACACAGTGTTAATAGAATATTCTGTTGTATAATTAATTTAATGAACGTTTTTACATCTATTATATAGATTATTGTGTGCGTGCGTGCGTGCGTGTATAATTAATGAATTTGATTTGCATCACAAACGACTGCAATACCGATACGATGATTATACATTTGCATAACTGTCGTGTTGCATCTATTTTTTTCTTATATATTATTGAGCTTTAGTACTTCGGCGACGTTATGCGGCGAAATCTCTTTTAGAAGAAGAGGAGGAGGAATATCAAGATAACGACAATCAAAACGTAGAAACTGCGTCTGTGATTAAGGATCTAACGCGACGATTGGATGATCTACAAGCGTGCAATGATTTGATGCTTAAGCAGGGATCTGGACTCCAACGAGCTTTATCCGATTTGGAAATGATAGAGCCTCCGTCCCCCGAATTAGCAGCGAAATTCAAGATCGTCAGCGAACGAACCACACTTTTCCGAATTGCGGCGAATGCTATGATTAGTGTAAGTTCAAACCAAATGATAATTTGCAATATGACGCAAAGTATCAGCGAATGATGCTTTTTGTTCTGCATTTTTCTCAATGTCAAGATATCAACAATCGTGACTATAGTAACTTTTTAATACAGCAACATTAAGCCGTCAAAATCTTTAAATATTCTTAAAAAAATCAAGTCAAATTAAGAGGATATCGCATGATGTGTCTAAGTAATGCTTTGAAAGATGATGACATTAATTTGCCATTATTTTACTGGACTTGCTGAATAAACTGTTGAACTTGTTTTGTGAACATCTCGTAAATCTTATCGTATTGATATTATATGTATATATAGCATGACTGAGCGTGATTCATCCAACGAGTGACAAGAGAAGGGGGAAATCTCGAGAATACAGTTAGTAATTAACTTTTTATATGAATGATACGTTCAAAGTCTACGTAGAAATTCGCAAGATTTGCAGAGAGCAGAGTTCAATTCTCTTGCCAATCAGAGTTGTCTCATTCACGAAATTGCCCTCGACATTGGCATTCTCTCTATTGATGCGATTTATCACCAATGTGATCTCACACAAAACGCAACTTATGACAACAGATTGAACATGTTGTTGCAGACGAGCAGCGATTACTTGCAACTAGCCCAACAACAAGAGCCTAAGTGGAAAAAGATGCTGCAGCACGAGCGTGATCAGAAAGTACGGATAGAGAAAATGGTCGAGCAGTTAGCTAGGCAACATTCCCACCTGGAGGAAGCCGCGCAACATGCGATTCCTTCAGCGACGCCTGCGGGAGGACACAGACCTTCACGTAAATAAATTGATTTCTATTCTTTTCGATTTCGTTTCGTTAGCATGTACTTGTGGCGCATTTTTAATACTTTTACTGTCATATTATTGCTTAAAAGCACCAAATTTTATTTAATTTTAAAAAACGATGATAATAAAATCTATTTTAATTTGTTAAACAGAATTTTGTTTGTTAATATTTAAAAATCGCTCTCTAAATATATTTTAGAGAGCTTCTTAATTATATTATTTAGAATCAATTTTTCTTTAACAAAAATAACAAGTAACAAATCATTATTAACTGATTATTATTATTATTTTTTAATTTTTTATATGTTTGTGTTACTAGCTCATAATTAAAATTTTCTCTCTCTCTCTCTCTCTCTCTATAGAAGATATCACCATCTGAACTTATCTGAAGAATAGTTTTATTATTCAAGATTTAAAAATCGAAATTAATTAAAACATTTTGAAGGGGGGAGGGGAGAGAGAGAGAGAAAGGGAGAGAGAGGGGAGGAGAAAAAGGACGTACATTAGATTTATATACATGCTGCATGCACTACGTGAAGAAATATAATAGCGGCTCTGTCGAAATTTTAATTAAATGTAAATTTTTTTTCTAGATAATGTTTTTTTTTACCACTTTTTTGTTGCATATTTAAACTAATTAAATATTCCGGCAGTTAAATGATGTCCAAAATACAATGATCTCCAGACTATAACCGGAGATTCTTTACGCAACAAAAATTATATTTTTAAATTCGTATCTCGCGTTGGCATTTAGCCGAGTTTAACCCTCACTCGAGTCTGCATTTTATTTATCTTTTTTCTTTCTCATATAAAAAAATAATATTCGTAACGTGGAAGCGGGAATTTAAATCTCAGCGGCTGCAATCGCTTGTCCGTGTTCGCGCTAGGTGGCCTCCAGGAGGCATCGCTGCGCCGATGCAACGCGTCGCGTTATCACGTGATTACGTCAGCCGTGGTCTACGCAGATCTACGTATGTCTACGTATGCATCGTTCATCCGTAAATTCGTATACGGATTACGATTGGCGCTATACACATAGGAGAAAATAGAGGGTTTATCCGCGCCGTGTTCTCGTCTGACGTCTCCCATCCCGTATAGGTAACGTAGTAATTTTATGTATATCGTACATACGTCCGCACACGATATAGTCGGGTGTGCTGCTTCCGTCTCCTCCGAGAGTTGGAATCGGCTTAATCGGCGAGAGCTCCCGGAACGGTTGGAGCGGGTCTCGCAAATCATGCTAGTGGAGAATCGTTTTTTCTTTCCGTTATCTCCGTTAACGCGATACCCCGAGTTCCGAGCGGTGCGGACGATTTTGGTGCAGACAATAGGATGATCGGTGCGTCGAAGGTAACGAAGGATACGATAATTGCCCGAGAAAAGTACAACGAGCACATTCGCGGCTTGTTGTTGGCGTTTCATAATGATTCTCGCGGTCACCGAGAGTCGCGGAATTGGCGCGGAATCGAGAGGAGAGCGGAAATCGCGTGTGATTCGATTAGAGGGGAGTGTGCGTGTTCGTGAATCGTGTTGGTTGGATGTATCGCTTGCGATGCCTTCTTTTTTTTATCTGTGCGCACCTCGAAGAGAGAAGAAAGAGGGTGCACTCGGGACGGAGCGGAGCGGAGTGGAGTGGAGCAGAGCGGAGCGGAGCGGAGCGAAGCGTTCCTCCGCAACGCCGCGCCGCGTCGCGTCAGTTTGATTGAACGAGCAATGAGCAGTAAGCGGGTCACAGGCCGGAGCGCTGCAGAGCGTTGTGCCGCTGTCCGACCGCGCGGCGGCACATTCGATTCGATTCGAGGCGAGGCGAGGCGACGCGAGGCGACGCGAGGCGACGCGAGGCGACGCGAGGCGACGCGACGGAAACGGGAGTCTGGAAAGGCAAAGGAGGGTGGGCAGAGCCGAGCTCGAGCGGTTCGGTTTATCGGTCGCGCGAAATGAACCCCAACTCTCGAGACGGATCCACGCGGTGGTCTTGCCGCGCGGGGCTCGCGGGACGTCATATCGATTCTTTATTACGCGATACGATCTCACGAACGCGAACGCGAACGCGGGTGACTCGCGTCAACTGGCGTAACTTGGTCGCGCATGCCGTCGCGTCGTAATTTACACGCGCCTTTTCCTACCGAGTTTCACGTCATTCTCAACGACCAACAACTCGATTTCGTCGCGCTGCGCCGAGATAAATACTTGATCCTTATCTCGATGCTTATCCAGACGACTTTCGTGCGATCAGTGACGACTTTGTGCAACATTCCGCGTTCACGTGTTCCGTCCAATTTTTTACCCGTCCCAGCTTGGAATTTCTACGCGACATTATACCTCATTCCGCGTTCGCGTCACTTGTCGCTTGTCAAATGGAAAATTATCACTTTGCAGATCCCGCAATTACAACGTCACCGTCGGAGGATGAAGAGGATAACGCTGAATTTTACGACGCCCAAGAATCAGACACTTTCACACTAACTGTACCCATCGCCACGAGCAATTCCATTTCTCATGCGAGAGATCGCACCGATTCCCAAGGTAGCGACGATGGCTCTAGTTCAGAGGGAGATCCAACGCCCTTGCCTGTCTCTGATTCCACTGGAACCGATTCCTTCCTTATTGTGACCGATTCCACTGCTGCGCAGACTCTCTCGGCTGTTAGAATCACCAACGATCTGGATATTGTAAGCAAATTACATTCTTTCTCTTCTTTCTTCCTCTCGAGTAAAATGATACGTAACGTAGGATGTAGATATGTTTTTTTTTATTCTATAACACTCTATAACATAGGCAAGCTGGCGATCCAATAATGACAGCAGCAGCACCGGGATGACCACCATTTCAAAACGGAAACGAAGGACCAGGGTACCTGACAAACCAAACTATCCTTTGAACCTATGGAGTATAATGAAAAACTGCATTGGCAAAGATTTGTCCAACATTCCTACAGTATGCTTCAACGATTAACAGAAGACTATGAATACGCGGATATTCTTGATAGGTATAGTAGTATATATAAATATTTTTACTTGCGTCTTACTATACAAGTAAAATGATGATTGACGTAATTTTTTTTGCTTGTTTATATATAAATAGGGCTGCAGAATGTACAGATAGTTATGAACAGATGGCTTTTGTAGCCGCGTTCACTGTGTCTAGTTACGCTACAACCGCCGCTAGAACGGGAAAGCCTTTTAATCCTCTTTTGGGTGAAACTTACGAATGCGATCGTACGGATGATCTTGGATGGCGCGCGATTTCAGAGCAAGTGTCTCATCATCCGCCTATGCTAGCTCAACATTGCGAAGGAAAGAAATGGCGATGTTGGCAAGAGTTTACAATGGCTTCTAAATTTCGTGGAAAATATTTGCAGGTACAATATGATACATTTGAAAAGACATACCGATTATACAATACATATCGCAAATAATCACTCAATCTCGTCGTCAAATCAAATTACGCGCATTGTTCTTGAATCATGGTTCTTCCTAAATATAACCATTTTGAAAATGGAATTTTGTGATTTTGCTTGACTTAGGTGATTCCTTTGGGTACTGCTCATTTAGAATTTAATATTGGCCAGCATCATTACACATGGCGAAAAGTCACTACTACGGTACATAATATTATAGTCGGAAGATTGTGGGTCGATCAGAGTGGCGATATGGATATTGTAAATCATAAGGAAGGTATCAAGTGCCATTTAAAGTACATACCGTACTCGTACTTCTCGCGAGACAGTCAGCGCAAGGTGAAGGGCATAGTCATGAATTCCAACAAGGAAGTCAAGTGGGTAGTGCAAGGTACATGGGATTCAAAGATCGAAATAGCACCGGTAATCAGCACGTCTGGCACACCCGATAATCCAGTTTATAAAACAGGCCCTTATATATTAGCTTGGAAACGACGTATGCCTACGTAAGTATATAGCAATAATATCCGTGTAAAAATTAAACCTGTTTAATTATTTCATTTCTTAAAGTTATATATAAATTTTATATCGTCACACACACACACACACACACACACACACACACACACACACACACACACAGAATATATATGTATCGACAACTTTTTCCAATAGAATTAATTTTCATGCTGAAAAGTCTCAAAACAAAAATCGATTGAAAAGATCTTTAGAGAGGAGGGCATAACTTTTTTCACGACCGTTCAGGAATCATTTTATTTCTGCACTTTCTTATGTATTTTTCTTTGTGAAAACCGAAAATGATGATGACAGTGACGTTACACTGAAAAACAAAATTGTTACGCTTATGCGAAATAAAGTTAATAATTTCCTTATTGACATCGTTACGAAATCGCTATCAATTATGCTTCGGTCATTTAAAAATTAATTCTTGAATCAATAACTGTGAATTAGTTTTTAAATTATTCAAGTATAATTGACAATTTCAACGATGTAAATGAGGATTTTAGTCTTTATTTCAATATATCAATTTTTTTCTTGAGTATAGGGCTCTTATAATTAATTAATAATTTTCGATTAAATTAATAAATAAAATGATCTCCGCACAATCGCGAAATAATAAAAATTGTACCCTCCTCTTTACTTGTACATAATATCTTAAAAATATCTGAAATATATTTCAATATTTAAATATAATATTGCAGCGAAGACTCTGAGAAATATTATTCATTCACGGAACTAGCGTGTCAATTGAACGAACCAGAAGAAGGTATAGCTCCAACAGATTCTCGATTGAGGCCTGATCAGCGGTTAATGGAGGATGGACGGTGGGACGAAGCCAATGCAGAAAAATTGCGTTTAGAAGAAAAACAAAGAGCTACTAGACGAGCTCGCGAGCATGATTGCGAAAAGGCTACAGCACAAGGTATGTTTGTTTGTATGATTAAATTGTGAAAATTAAGCTCCTCTTTTATGCTTATAGAATTTTGTATTTTTCCACAGGATTATCTTATGAGACATATGAACCTTTATGGTTTAGAAAGAAGCAGGATCCATACACGGATAGCCGTTGTTTTGTTTATAACGGCGAATATTGGGATCATAAAAGCAGAGGTGACTGGTCACGATGTCCAAACATATTTTAGTTCGTTGTATAGATAGATTCGATTGCAATAACTGTGTCACATACAGTGCGTGAAGAAGTTTTGGATCGTTTAAAAGTGACGATAGCCGAGATTAAAAGTCGTGATTGCTCGTGGTCGAGATTTAAATGCTTATGAAATAACGTTGACGTGATAATGGGATTGTTACGGGATGTGGTTTAGCAATTAATTCTTCCAATGAAGTGGACGAAACTTGTTGGCAACTCTGACATATGCAATTTGTACTTGCATGTCATCGCCTTCGCTATTCTTTTCTACCTCTCTCCCTTTCTTTCTCCCCTTTTTCTTCCCTGTCTTTCCTTTTGTCTCTTTTTTCGAAGCTAATATCTAATCCCCTCAACATGATATTTTATTAATGCGCACTTGCTATTTTTTTTTAAGATTTTGTGCTGAATTAATGAGTAGCCAATCTTGAATTTTTGCGTTTATTACATTAGCTATACGTAGGAATTCGTAAAAATATCGAAGCTCTAGTAAATCGAGAATGAATTCCGAATATGTCATTACTTTAGCCATCAAGATTGTAATAAGACTGTGAGAGGATAAAAAAATTTTTGTCATTGAAGAGGAAGGATTTCAAATCAAGTTTTATTTTATAATATATTCAGTATTCTCAATTTATGTTTAGGTAAATATGAATCTAATTTTCTAGAAAGAATTTGAACTAAACTTTTACCGAAAAATCGCGATCGATGTGCTATTATGTGTGTATATGCAAAATTCCTGTGTGTATTTCATTATTTTTAATCTATCGTAATCCATCGTTGAAAGTATTTGTATAAATACAGAGAAAGATGTGCAACGAAAATTAGAATCGAGTCAATACACTCGATTTGAATTAATATAAAACAAGATACGATGATTTCTCTCATTTATTTTTACTATACTTATTTATTTTTACAGAGGAAAAGAAAATACATCTCCATGTATTAAAAATCCAATTGATTTTTTTAATGTGTGCCAGTAGTTTTAATTTTTTTTTTTTTATAATTCTCTCATTGCGCACTTTCTACTCGATCTGATGTTACAACAAAAAAGTCTGAAAAGTGTTGTGGAAACGTTGGAAATAAATCTTGATAAAGAAGAGTATTATGAATACAAGAGGAACAGTAAAACTACATACATTGGTTTATTCAGTGATTTCGAATGCACGCGCGCAATGATTTAACGTTTTACACACGTAATAAACCGACGACGATGATGCTTCCAAGTTTGGCCAGCGTTTTTTTTTTTTTACAAGAAGTGAGAAAGAAACAGAAAAAAACTATGCCATTTCACGTCTGCACTGATTTCAAGCACGCTAGATACGCTCCGAATACTTTACCAAGAGGTATGCGATGTCACGAAAATGGAACGCCAAAAGCAAAGCGAGGCGCGAATCGAAGATTCCTAAGTGCTGCTCCGCCTGATTAAAAAAAATCAAAATCGGGTCTCTGAGCATAATGATCGTTTGTTTCTCGAAATTATCGCTGTAGCATAGAAAGACGCGTGCACATAGGCACGTGCGACTGATTTATAGCGAATGATTTGCGTATGTATGTATGTGTTTGTATGTATGTATGCCAGTATGTACATAAAGCGATTAATTGGTGAAACTTATTGTATATCCTTCTTACTTATGAGCACATAAGCCATTCCATTCGCGATATTATCAGGTACATATAAGCTGCCTTGTACAAGTATATACCTCGATAAACCGAATGGAACGACTAGCTTGCAGCCAATGTCTATAATGGTCATTACGCTAAGTCCTCTGGCTGTATTATGTGTGTGTGTGTGTGTGTGTGTGTGTGTATGTGTGTGTAAATGTGTTTTGTGATTGAGAGAGAGAGAGAGAGAGAGAGAGAGAGAGAGAGCCGAATAATGAAGCTGAATCATAGTACTTGTACATTAGCCAATTCGTGTGGGGGGAGAGAGAGAAATACAAATATGCTTCGCTACAAAGGGATATTCATTTCGTGGCGTCTCCTTTATAGCCACCTATCGTCAATCGCGTAAAAGGCCGTAATTGTATTATAAGCGACTTTTGGTTTTGTCGAATAAATTATATTGAATTAATTATATATGAAAGGACTATAAACGCGATTTGAATTAATACGGATTAATGCCCGTTCCCACCAATGTAGATTAACTTTAATTTCCATTTAACATACTCTTTAACTTTTTTTAATTTTTATGCTCGTTTCCATTAATTCTAGAAAAGAATGAAACTAGTTTACATTTCAGTCTTTTCTAGAGTCTTATAAGAATTAGAAAAAAATAAAGAATAAATTAAACTACAATTAAAGTTAATCCACATTGATAGAAATAAGCATATAACTCATCTCTTTCTAAAATTCTAAGATTAATTAGAAAAAATAAGGAATAAATTGAATCGAGATAAAAAATTAAACTACACTGGTAGAAGCAAATATTAGAAAAAGATGAAGAACGAGTTAAACTGAGATTAAAGTGATCTGCGTGGAACTTTTGGAACCAGATAGATCAAGTTTGTTACGAGAATATTTTATTGATTATAGGCTTCTTACACACATTTAGATTTATTGATTACGTTTCGTTCCTTTTTGATTCAGGAATTTTTTTGCGATACCACGCAGATCGGTAGAAAAAAATGTTTTCTTCCCGGCAGAAATTTTTTGATAAGTTGTAAAATTGATTTTTAGTATTTGTTCTGTATGATATTTGTATTAACATACATAATATACGACTATATAGAGCATGGGAAAGAAATGAACGCCCGTTGTTTGAGCAATTTTTTAGAAATTTAGAAACTGTCCGATCAGTTTAGCATCACAGGGAGAGGAGAAACTCGACAAGATATATTGCAAATCGTGCCGTGACTGTCAAGTTTTCGTCGTCCGGTCCGGCCGGCACGGCGGTTTCCCGGTTCGCGTTCCGCCATCCGATCTGATTCCATGCGTTCCTCGTTTCCGCGGCGTTTTGACGAAGTCAGTCTTGTTAGACGAGCCGGGTTTCAAACGCATGCGCGTCCAATGTAGCCTCAGTAACGTACCGGTCACAAGTAAAGAGGAGATTATTAGTCGTTTATGTAAAAATGTGGAAAATTTTACATATTTTACATATTTTACATATGCATATATATATAGAAATATATTGTATACATGTATACGTATGTAAAATATGTAAAATATACATATTACAATTTTCAACATTTTCAACCCTAAGCGACCAACGATCTCCCTATTTACTAGTAATCGATACATTACTGAAGTTACATTGGACGCGCATGCGTCTGAAACCCGGCCCATCCAACACACTGACGAAGACGAAAACTTAGAACGAAACCGGAAAGCGGACTAGCGGAAGCGCGACAAGCGATGAACGACGGCGGGTAAAAGGCGGGTACGACATCTCGCGATTCACCTATGTATGTGATATATATATATACATACGCGAGCTGTTGAATTTGCGATGAGGTCAGTTTTCAGTGGTAGAAACGCGATAGTAATGAGAGAAATAGAGATAATGTCTTTTTCGTCCGCAGGGCGAATCATACGCGTTGATACGTGCGTGCGTGCGCGCTTGCGCACTCGATCGATCCGTCCGTGATGGCGTGATCCGTCTCGAGATGGCGGCGGAGAGGCAATGACGTCACGGGCGTAGTAATACACGGCGCGAGCGCATGGCGAGCGGAGTCAATCCGCGGAGCTGCTGCGCGAGAGACTGGGAACTGCTTTCGATTGTTGGCGGGCGCCGCCATCTTGGTCAGTGAGCCTGCGAGTGGTCTGTACGTCTCCGTGGTGCGGAGTGGCTTCGTTGTGCGTATTTCAGGCGGTCGTTTACCGAACGGCGTATTCCGTGCGCGCGTCTCTTCCCCGCGTGAGCCTCTCGTTATCCATTTAACCAGCGAGATCCGCACGCATCCGAGATGTCGGAACGGGAGGACAACGTTTACAAGGCGAAACTGGCCGAGCAAGCGGAACGCTACGACGGTAAGTAGATATTTCCCCTTTTCGTTGACGAGGGGCAGGGGGGGGGACAGAGGGGACAATTTAGCCGGTTCGTCGACGCGAAACCGCGAAACCGATCTACGTCCCGCGCGATCCATTCGCGTCTCGTGCATCGCGTCAACGAGCTCTTTCCTCTCTTCCTCCCCCCCCCTCCCTCTCTTCCCCCTTCGCTCGCATCAACGGGATCCGGGTCGCCCATCGTTGCGACCGCCTGGCGTCTCAACGTTCTCGTGATAGCCTGCGATCCCATTAGAGAATTTCCTTTCTCGACGAATAACCTTTCCTATTCTTTATTCTACTCCGATGGTACATACTCCCGGGGCTGTCGCTCTCGTTGGAGCGCGTCGTATCTGTCAAAATTGGCGGCGCGATCGTTACGACATTATTCGTCATGCCGGCGGCGTTCCTTTGTGGCGGCGCCGGACGCGATATCGACTCGTGTCATTCGCGACACGACGGTCGATCCGGCGAGGCCCGCCCGTTCGTTACTTCGTTCGCCCATTCGTTTGTCCATCCGTCCGTCCGTCGGTCGGTCGGTCCGTTCGTCCGTCCGTCCATCCGTTCGTTCATTCGTTCAATCGCCGAAGCCCTGGAGGGTGGGAAGGGGGGGGGGTGGGAGGGGGGGGGGGGCTGCCACGGGACGAGACGACGAATCTCGTGCGTTTTCTAGACCTGCGTTAGACCTGCTCTTTTTAGCTGAACTTTTCGCACAATTCAGCTCTCTTTTCTCTTCCTACGTGAGAAGAGAAAAGAAAGATGAACCGTGTAAGAAGAGTTGATCTGTAATAAAGAACAGATCAGAATGATTTCGCGGCCCGATTCCTTTGGATTCCGTGCTCCGAAAGTCCCGATCGGGAAACGACGCTGGCCGCTGGCGGCGGCCACGCGTTGCTAGGCGTGCTCCCGGTTCTCCGCCTCGTCGCTCTTTTTCACCTCCTACCCGAGAGAGCTACATGTCTCTTCGGCAGATAAGCGAAGCGAGACGGGTTCGTTTCTCTCTCGATCACCGACGACAGACGGTCATGAGACTCGTGAATGTTGATGACGTATAGACACGTTGAGGCGTCTTGGCTAATCGCCCCGCCGTCGCCGTCGCCGTCGCCGTCGCCGTCACCGGGTTATTATACCACGGATACACGCAGTAAATCGCGTGTTCCGCTCGTGGCATCTGGCCTTGAGCGCACGCGAAGAAATCATCGATTGGAGATTCGATCGACCGTTCAATATCATTTTATCCATGGTGGAATTAGATATGATTCCATCATACATTTTATCTTTGTTCAACGTTCTGCGAAGAAAAAGAATAAAATAATATATGGATGCATCCGGAAATAAATTTTTGAAACACAATCAAAAGTCCAAAGTGAGAACAACCAATGTCGTTCTCTTTTTCCCCTTTTCCGATCTTTTTTTCGATCTCGACAAAGAAACGAGAACCGTCATCCGCGTGGATTTCCACAACAGCTGCACGGTCCGCTTTAGTTATCTGCAACTTCGGCTCCTTTCTCCGCGCGAAAGGCGAGGAAAAAGCGAGACGAGTCCACGCGAACCGCTTTAAACAAGAACGAAACGAAGTCTCATCATCAGGTAAAATAGACCTGACGGATCGCGTACAAGCTTGACGCTAGTCACTGCGCCGCGCCGCGCCGGATCCAGCCGGATCGGCCGGATGTCGCTTTTGCCGACTCCGATACGTTTGATCTTTCCGCACGCACATCTTCCCTCCCCTCCATTCTCTCTCCCTTTTCGTGTTGAGTTAACAGGGTTTCCCGGTTAGGCGTAATAACGTGAAGCGTCCAGAGTGAGTGGTAGCTGGCTCGGCGGCAGCTTTCGAAGCGTCTCGACGATGACGATTCCCCATCGATCTTCTCGCGTTCTCGATATCGACGCG